AAATTATTATACCTGTAGCTCATTGTGTTTATATATATATATATATACACACACACACACACACACACACACACACACACACACACGTGTATATGTGTGTGTGTGTGTGTATGTTTTTTTCTCCCTTCTCTATAAGAATTGATAACTGGCACAGAAATGATGAAATCTGGGCCACTGAGCATCAGGCAGCTGTCAGCTAGCTAAGTTCATAAAAGAGATGAGATTACTGAAAACCAGGGTAAACAGCTCTGGGAAAATGGGGCATGTAATTAGAAGACATGATTTCCCACCCTTTTTCCAGAAGTTAGGAAAAGGGTTTAAAAAAAGGAAAAAGGAGATGATTCTATTTGATTTGTTAAAACATGTATAGTTATATATTCTTTTACCCAGAATGTTAACTGAAGAGAAAAATGATACTGTATTGGTTTTCAAAATTGAATTAATTCCTGTACTGATTAAACATTTGTGACGTATTATATTTTCTCATCTACAGAATTTCTCATCTGTTAGGGAAAACCTGTAGATTTTAGTATTTTGGAAATGATCTGTTACTATTCTGTTAATTGAGTGGAGGACTTATTAGTAACCAAATGATTTGTGATATATTAATGCTAGGCAACCATTAATGTAGCAGACAATAGTAATAGAACTTCTATAACCACCTTTGGCAGATTTATTATGAGGAGCAATGCTAATAATGGAAGGAGCTAGAGTCTGGGTACCAGTTATGAAATATGATCAGCCTTGTTACGCCAGGCCAATCACTTAAGCTCTCTAAGACTTCATAGACATAGGAGGCAAATAATGATCTACCTCAGAGGACTGTAAAGAAAAAATTTCATCTAAGGTCAAATGAGATAAGGTGCTTTTAACTGGCAAGATGCTCTAAGTAGTACAATATATTACTGTTGTTCGTTGGTTTTTTTGTTGGCTTTTATGTCTAACCTACTAGCTCTGGTTTCTGGTATATCTGTTATCACCCAGTTATTAGAAAATCTGTTTTATAGCAAGCAATGTATGTCTAGGAATTAGTTTCAAATTTAGTGCTTTCCTTTCTCTGCAGATAACATAACTGCTATGTTATCTCTAATAGAGTTTGGAATGTCATAGCCATATGTAGATCCATAGATGTTTAATAAAGCCATATTCAAAGTCACTTAAAATTAAAAGAACCACTTGAATCTTGGAGATGGGATTTCTACAGGACACAGAGTAAATGTCCAAGATAGATAAAGGTCTCTTGGTTAAGGTTCAGTACAAATTTGACAGACCCCTTTACAAAAGGTTGATAATGGTAAAGATTTTTACACTCAGGACTCCAGAATTCTTTTGTTAAGGAACAAACATCAGTGAAATACTGAATTCTATTAATTCTTTTTCTACAGTGCCTCCAAAGCCACTACACCTGCAGAATTCACCTTCGTCCAATATACACCAAACCCCCAGGCATAAAGCTTTATCTAGTGCAAAACCAAGGATGGAGGAAGTTAAACCTGCCTCTGCTTCTTGTGTCTCAAAAGAAAAACCCAGTAAGATATCAGATCTCATCAGTCGCTTTGAAGGAGGCAGGTAAGAGCTAACTTACAGTGGGAGAAGGCAGAGGGGAGAAGAAAGCTGGTTTTTTAAAAAGTATGATAGAGTTACAGATTTTAAAATAAAAAATAGAGTATTTTATTCCATTAGGTTTGGTAGGCCTTTAGAAAGAGTGAATTTTTAAAATGCTAATCTTGCCCTAATATGAATTCTCATTCATATTGTATTATATTATATTATATATTACCTGTGTGCAGTGCTCTGTGCCCCAGCCTTCTCATCACATTGTGTGCTGTGTAGATCTCATTTCCTGCGTATCTGCGTATGTCACTCTGTGTATTGTTACTCCTTGGGGTCATTCCATTGGTCACTAGATATCTGGGTTGGAAACGCAGGAAGTTGTCTCTCTTTCTTTGCTTCTCACTTCATATGCTTGAATTTAACTCCTGTGGGCCTGTCCCATCTCTTCTTTCTGACCCATTTTATTTAATGTGGGTCTTCTGTATCCATTCAGTCCCTGTTTCCCCTCTCCCCATACCCCTGTACTGTACTAGATTTGTGAAGAGATACTGGCAATAACAAAATCCATGCTAAATTTCCATTCATATTTATTAGCTATAATTTTATATTCTTTAGTCCTGACGGTTCACAAAGGTAGCCGAAATGTATATTTCTCACTTAAAGATAAAAAAAAGCTCACATAAGTTGCTTTTCTACTTATATGACACTCAGTTGTTTTTTCTTAGAATTCCCATCACTGACTTAAATAGAATTTTAAAAAAATTTTATCAGAAGGATTTTTTATGTATCACCAAAAGTCTGTATATAATTAAACAGTATGTATAACTTCAGTTTCATCCTTGAAGCCAAAAATTTCCATTCATTCTAATGTAATATTTGGGAATGGTTTCCCATTAGGTGATTTCAATAGTTATTTGCAGGATGCATTATTTATGTAATGAATCATAGCTTAGAAATACTTTAAGATCTTCTGGAAATTGTGACCAAGTACAAAACTGCAGTGTCCCTCATTTGTGAGACTATATTTACTAACAAGTTCTAGAGGAAAGTAGTTTCTGTTCTTAATCAATTATGGGAACTTTAGTCATAAATATTTAAACTTCAACATCTCCCCCTCAGAAGTAAGATTTTTAATACCTTTGATATCTTAAATTATAGTAATCTTTCCTAGAATGATTTATTTCCATTGAAAATTTTTTTGTTTCTCATGGCAAGTTGATTCAATAGCATGTTTGCAGATTCCCAGGGCCATGTCCAGTGACTGCATAATAAAAGGAGAGGATGGAGCCCTGACCCCTATCCATAGTGCACGCCAGAGCCTGTATCCTCAGATTTGGGGGTAGCTTTGGGAAGCCCCAAATGGGTCAGTATTCCAAAGACTGAGTCCTCTGATCCTCACTATTTTGGTAACCCACTATTTGTATTCCTCCTCTCCATACACAAAACATGCAGTTTTTCCATATCAATTTTTTTCAATATATTTTTCCAAATCACTGTTCTTTCATTCTTCCAACGTTAACAGATTCAAAGTCATTTTTTGATGCAAAACTTGAAGGTTGGCTCTAAGGAGAGATGTAATGTATGGCATTTTAAGCAAAATTGTTCTAAGAGCAGATAGGATGTAATGTGAGCATTTGGGCCAATCTGCTGAAGGGATGTTACCTGTGGCAGAGTCCACTGCCAGTACAAAAAATAATTATATGTTTTTAATGAGGTATTTCCAGTAGGAACAGGCCCTAAAAAGTATGGGTTACTGTTGCATTGGATCTATAGGACTTGAATGGAAGTTTTTATTCCTTGTTCAGTGAGGTCCATGTGCCTGCAGTGTGGCTGTCCGGTTTTACCCCAGTTATTACAGCTTAAACTAGCACTTGGTGGAATAGAGCGAGATTCTGCAGGCTCTGATTTACCACGGTAAATTGACAGGAAGAACCAATGTCTGTTACAGTGGGGTCATGTAAGACCATATGGCACTATTAAAACCTTACCCATGCATCATAGTTTTGCTCTTTGCAATAATCTAAGTAGCTCCTGGTTTATTGCTTTGGTTTTTTTGTTTTTGTTTTTTGTGGTACGTGGGCCTCTCACTGTTGTGGCCTCTCCCGTTGCGGAGCACAGGCTCTGGACGTGCAGGCTCAGTGGCCATGGCTCCCGGGCCTAGCCGCTCGGCGGCATGTGGGATCTTCCCAGACCAGGGCATGAACCCGTGTCCACTGCATCGGCAGGCGGACTCTCAACCACTGCGCCACCAGGGAAGCCCTCTGGTTTATTAATAGGAGTGATTTGGAGGGTGTATTTGGAGCAAGTGAACTTTATTTATTTTTTTTTTACTGTGGTTTATTATTCCATTTTTTGTTTTTGTTTTCATTTTTTGAGAGTAAGAAAAACTAGGATTTTTGACCTATGAAAGACTTTAGGATTTTAGAAAGAGGTAAATAACATTTTCTCACAAAACTGAACATTGTTTTTTCCCAATGGCACTGCAAGGCCAACTGTTTCTCCCCATGGTTTGTCATCTACAGGAATCTGCTACTTATTGGTTGAACCACTGCTTTTACTAAACCTTCCCTCCCCACCTTATCCTACACCCCTCCACACACACACATATCCCCTGGATATCACTTATTACAGGAAATTCTTACTTGTCATCCAAAGTGGTCCTTTCCAAAAATCCTAAGTAAGTCCAAAGTTTGGTTCAGAGGATCTGCTAAGGATCTTTCCACTGTGTTGCTGGACACTGATGTGTTCAGGAAAAGGAGGACAGTTTGATTCAAATCTTCAAGGACTTTTGGAGAAATTAGGCCTAAGGTATACGCTCCTAGAAGGCAGATATCAGCGGTGGAGTGTGTCACATTTACTTATACTGACAACCTCCATCTTTTATATGACATTTTCCTCTACCAGATTTTTCCTTTCCTTCCTGTGCTGATAAACTTTACTGTGTCTTTTTTCTTCTCTTACTGCTTTCTTACTTACTTTCTTACTGTTATTCCCTGTTCCATTCTCCAGTCCAGATCAGCAGTATCTGGGAGGAGTACAGTGAAGGGATACAGTAACACACATCTCAGCATTGTCCATGGACCTTTCTGCTGTGCCCTTTCCCCACATCCCTCATGAGCCCTCACCCCATAACCTCTGCTTGTGCTGAGGAAGATGCCTGGACTTTCTTCCCACATTTTTTTTTTTTTTTTTTTTTTTTGCGGTATGCAGGCCTCTCACTGTTGTGGCCTCTCCCATTGCGGAGCACAGGCTCCGGACGCGCAGGCTCAGCGGCCATGGCTCACGGGCCCAGTGGGGTCTACCCGGACCGGGGCATGAACCCATGTCCCCTGCATCGGCAGGCGGACTCTCAGCCACTGCGCCACCAGGGAAGCCCTCTTCCCACGTTTTGTATGTGGCCTGCTCACCTGTTTCTCACTCCATCCTTCCTGTTCCAGTGTATTATTATAATGTGGGGTTAAGACTACAGGATTTATAGTCAGACTTCACGGTTTGAACATGGGCTTTATTATTTGTTAGCCACGTTACATTGGCCCCATTATGTAAGTTTCTAAGCCTCAATTTCTCTATTTGTGGGGTCCCTATTTTGGAATTATTATGAGTATGAAACAAGATAATCAATGTAAAGGGCTTAATGTAGTTTCTGGCAGTTAATAAATGTTAGCTGCTATTATTGAATTACTGTCATGATCACTATCACGATGAGTTATTCATTGCTCCTCAGCTATTTATTGAGCACTGTCACATGTCAAGTGCTGTGCTCAGAGGTGGGGATAAAGCAGAGAACAAGATGAGCACATTTTGTACCATCACAGAGCATTAGTCTGTTTTAAATGTTTCTCCTCATTAGGTCATAAGAATCTCTTCAAGACTGAAGTCCAGAGTTTTGTGTTTGTCCTCACTGGAATCCTAGATTAAAGTACTATATAAATATTTCCATAGGAACATTGTAATATATTGGCAGTTAAATTCCAATGTACTATTAGGATTAAGCCTTTTTGAGGTGATGTCTGAGCAGAAACCTGAATGATGGGAAGGAGTAAACCACACCATTGAATTGGGGAAGATTGCCCTGGACAGAGAGAATGGCAGCTACAAATACCCTTAGATATGCACATTTGCCTATTGGGGATGGGAACAGCAGGTGACTAGTATGACAAGAGCACAGTGAGTGAGGAGAGAATAGCATTTAATGAGGCCAGGGCTAGTGGGGGCTATAGTATATAGAGTCTTATAGGTCATGATCAAGATGCCAGATTTACCTTCAAGTGTTTGGGCAAACCCTGAGAGTTTGATCTTTGTGGCCAACTTGGGAAGACTAGATTGGAGGGGATCTGTGTGGAGGCAGAGAGACAAGTTAGGAGGCTATGGAAACATGTGCAATAAAATTTTTGAGAAATGTATTCTGCTTTCCAAAGAAAAATAACCTTTGTTTCTAACCTGTTCATAAATTGAGGGCTAACTATACTTGTTTTTAAAATGTTAAGAAAGTAAAAATCTTGGGATAAGATGGTCTTATTAAATATTTCGCACATCTAAGTCTTTACTAACTAGCTATATTAATAAACAGCCCAAGGAAATGTTTTCAACCCTATACGTAAAGCTCAGGCTTATCATCTTTATTTAAATGTTTAGCATCCTAAAAGACTTGAGAATTACTCTGGAATATTCTTACCTATGTTTCTAAAACCATCAGAGGGGAAAAAAATGTCTTCACTAAATATCCCTAAACAGCTAGAATAAATTTGTTTTTATTCTAGAACTTGTCCATGCCAACATTTTCATACTTCCTTTGTATTTTATCTTTTAGCTCATTATCAAATTACAGTGATTTGAAAAAAGATTCTGCTGTGAACCTAAATGCGCCTAGAACCCCGGGAAGGCATGGATTGACAACCACACCTCAGCAAAAACTCCTCTCCCAACACTCACCACAGAAGCAGGGAAATGATACAGATCAATCTCAGGGTGCACAGACTTGTGTGGCTAACGGTATGGTAGCAGCACAAAACCAGATGGAATGTGAGGAGGATAAAGCGGCCACTCTTAGCCCAGATACTCCTATTCAAACTTCTGAACCCTTGCCTGATACAAACTTAGTAAATGGAGAAAGACAGGAAACAGCCACAGACCCTGCATCCCCCATAACAAATGACTGTGATGAAAATGCTTCTGACAGTAACTGCAGGACTTTACATGTCAGCCCACTGCTCCCCCTGGAAGAAGGAAGGGCAGACACAGAAGCCAAGGTACAAGAGAGGGAAGATGGAGAAAGCCCCCTAGAACTGGAACAGCTGGACCAGCACCATGAGATGAAGGTAAAGCATAAGTAGGAAGAAGCACTGACTTTTTTTTTTTTTTAAATATTTATTTATTTATTTAGGCTGTACTGGGTCTTAGTTGCGGCACGGGGGATCTTCGTTGCAGTATGTTTAGTTGCGGCATGTGAACTCTTAGTTGCGGCATGCATGTGGGATCTAGTTCCCCGACCAGGGATTGAACGCAGGCCCCCTGCACTGGGAGCACAGAGTCTTACCTACTGGAGTACCAGGGAAGTCTCAAGCACTGACTGGCTATTCCACTATGGTTTGAAAACTATTTTATAGCACTTATGTGATGAATAAGTCAGATCACCCACACCACTGGTTGATGATGCATGTTTCCCCTACTCTGAGGAGATATTCCACTTTTTCTTCTATGTAATTTCTGTTGATCTCTCTATTATGATTTCAAGATTCAGAACAGTGTGAAGACTTTGATATAGGAAAACCACAAACATACTGTTTTTACTTACATCGGAAGAAAATGTTATTTCTTGCCCAAATGTTAAGGCTGCATCCCTAATATTTATGGTCTAAGTAACAGGAAATTATATAATCCTGAAGATCATCTTGGTTCAGTAGTTCATTTATAGAAGAAAAAACAGTCCCAGGAAGCTTAAGTGATTTTCCAGGCTCACAGTAAAAGCCCAGACTCCTTGTGCCCTGACTCTCAGGCCGGTATTGTGTCCTGATGCAAGAAGTCACAAGTGTAAATGCCTAATTGCAGGAAATGTCAATGAATGCAGAGGCCATGAGGAATAGACTAGAGAGAGGTGAGACTGTGGCAAACTAGAAGTTCATTTCCTTTCTAATCAGAGCAGCAGATTGATGAACCACCTGAATGGCATTTCTGAGCTAACAAAGAGCTGATTTGCTGGTGTAATATGTTCATAATCTAACTGGGCTGTAGCAGAAACTTTTATACAATTTCAGTAACAAGACCATTGCATTTGTATTCTTTATTCATGTCAATATAGTGCTTTGGAAAGATCAATAAATATGGCTTTTACAAAGCACTTGGAATTTCTTGGATCAAAGATGGTATGTAAGCATTATCATAGCATTCCCTGGAGTGGGGAGTTGTTTATAATTCTGAAGACAAGAAAAAAGTTTCCATTGTTTAATCTCTCTTATATATTATAAATAACAATCTTTGTAGGAGAGCTGATAATTGAAAATTGGACAGTTATAGGAAAATTTGTAAAGGATAAATCCAAGTCCTAAATCTATTTAGAATTTTTTTTATGATGCTGTATCTTAAGTGGCACTAGCATAGCCGGAAATTCAAAAGGACTGATACTAAAATATTAGAGTAAAAAATGATTGATGTGTTCAGAACTTTAAAGTGAAATCTATCTTATAGTTCAATTTACAGTGATCCTGAAAAGAATCACAAATAGGCAAAGAGCCAGTAGTTTATTTTCTTCCAGTTAGTGCATTAATTTTAAATGCTGACTCTCAAGCAGAGAAAGTTTAAATAAGGAAGTGAGTGGGAGAAAGTGAGTCATACTTGGTAACAATATCTGAAACATTAAAGAAACAGGACTTTGCAAAGTGAATCTCTTTACATCTCGATATAGTAGTAGATTTTAGTGTCTCTGTTTAAATCACGGTGAATGGAAAAGAAGTTTAGAACCAAGGAACTCAAGACTCACATCTGTCCTTTTACACTTGGGATGATGCCACCAGCAAGTATTTGTAAAACAGTAAGAGCTGTTTTTATTAAGAGAAATATTTTAATTGGTGATGATGCCTGTGGTTGCTGGGTACTACTTTTTTACCCATGTCATATATTATTATGTATACATTTTCATAGATGAGTCTTCTTTGGTTTGGGAGAGACTTAATAGGGCTTCCTATTAAATTAGTGAGACATGGAATAGTACATCTGGTCTTTCTCCTAATGGACATTTAAGCAGTGGTTGGCACATGCTATATGTGGGAAGAAAAAGGAAATTTTCTCTGCAGAGCTGTTGATCTAAATACTACATGTATATGTATAACTGACTCACTCTGTTATAAAGCAGAAACTAACACACCATTGTAAAGCAATTATACCCCAATAAAGATGTTAAATAAATAAATAAATAAATAAATACTACATGAGTCTCCCATCCAAAAACGAGTATTAGAATGTAATTTTTTCATGGTAACAGCGTGTTCTCTTTTGCTGCTTTAGAGTAGCAAGCATTAATGCTTGTCACATTGCCTTTCCTTGTTCCAAAATGCAAACATAAATGTTAGCAGTGTTAAGGTGATAAGTTTTATGTTAAGTGTATTTTACCACAATTAAAAATAAACTTAAAAAAAATTTAAGTTAGTAGTATATAATAGACTAAACAATTGGAACCAGGAAATCTTGATGCTACTTCTTGTTCATCCACTAACCAACATTATGACCTTGAACAAATCAAATTCTCTAATTAAAGGGTTCTAAAATTCTTTAGTTGAAGAATATAAACTGAGTCTGATCTTAAGTCTCTCCTTAGTGATAATAATATAATTCTGTGCTGTTGTATGTAGGTATATTCATTCCTTTGTTAGCATAGCCCTCCAGATTGTCAGCTGCTTCTTAAACCATCTAATGTGTTGAACTTCTAAGACATCATGGAGTATTTGAGTTTCACTGTGCAGACAACTGAAAAAAAGTTACCTCAGTCTTTATATAACTTGATATAGAGGTTTACATCAGAATAGTCTTATTCGCTTCCATTTAAACCAGAATTAAATTTAATGGACATTGTGCACCAGGAGTGGAAGAATGAGGGATTGGGGGATGGAAAGTGGGGGCACAATAGAATTGCAAAGATAGTTCAGGAACGTAGATACATATTAAAATATATCGTGAACAATCATCACTAATAATTGAGTACAGACTTGAAAATAGTCTCAGCTTGTGTAACTCTTTCACTGATTATCTGATGTATTTTGATCAAGAATCACTTACAGTGGTGAATATAGAATACTGTTATTTTTACCATGTAAAAGATAATACCTACCTCATTGAAACTGTTGACTCTACTATACTTTGGCAAAGCAACACTTTTCCAGTGTTTAAACTTTTTGCACCAGTGATCTAAATATAGCCAGACAGCTCAAAGTAATCAGATAATTCTTTAAAATCTCAGAATCAAAGAAAAATTTTAGCACTTTATGATACCTTTAGTTTTCAGCCACAATGTGTTAATAGTATCTTTAAATTAAGGTTAATCATGTATTACAGCAGATTACAGATTGAAATCTACTAAAAGGAAGATGTCATTGGGTTAGCCAAAAAGTTCATTAGGTTTTCTCCATAACATCTATACATTATAAGGAAACATTCTAAAACCCGTAAGGTACAGGAAAGGTAGGGGTCAACGACTATCATAGTGTGTATGCATGTGCGCGCTCAGGGATGGTACTTGAGGGCATCAGGGGATAACAACAGTATTATAATTCTTGTTTGGCATGATGAATTTGGGTTATCATAAATAGCTTGAACTATATTAGGAGACTCAGGTAAATGGGTTAGAATGAATTTCATTAAAAATAGTTATTTTTTCTCAGATTTGTAGGCTTCAGTGGGTGAGCTTTAGTAGAAATGCACTATGTTGAATGCTGCACTCATCAATTTGTGCCGTGGAAATGAAAATTTCTCTTCACGGTTTTCACGAGTCTTTTAATATCCAGGTTATATTTCCATGGGTTGATTGGTAGTTTTTTCTGAGATTTATTCAAAGTATTTCCTTCCTCTGTATTTCATACAGCAAGCCAAATATCAGTGTGTAGATATGCACTTTTTAAGACTAACGTTTATATAAATAACGAATCTCTGTTATTGCCAACATAAGCTCAAAGTAGCAATGTATTAAAACCATAATAATAGCAATTTTATCAAGAATGTAAAAGAAGCAGATTTTTTAAAAGTTAATCTTTCCTTTCACCAAAAATGAAAGAAATTATGTAGTGAAGTTGGCAGATAGATTAAGGTGGTGTCCACAATGTAGAGACTTATAGAAACATATATTTTTTAAAAAACGTAAATGTTTATTTCCTGCTTATTTCTTATTTCTGTTTTTTTAATTGCTATTTTACTTATTATATTTTTATATAAGCCTTGAGGGTTTATAACTTTTGAACATACTCAAAAGTTAAGAAAGGTAATTATCTCCTAGGGGAAAAAAATGACGGAAAAGCACATTCAGAAGTAAGTTTCAGGGCTTCCCTGGTGGCGCAGTGGTTAAGAATCTGCCTGCCAATGCAAGGGACATGGGTTCGAGCCCTGGTCCAGGACCATCCCACATGCCGCAGAGCAACTAAGCCTGTGCACCACAACCACTGAGCCCGTGCTCTAGAGCCTGTGGGCCACAACTACTGAACCCACATGCCACACCTACTGAGCCCACGTGCCACAACTACTGAAGCCCGTGCGCCTAGAGCCCGTTCTCTGCCACAAGAGAAGCCACTGCAGTGAGAAGCCCGCGCACCGCAGCGAAGAGTAGCCCCCACTCGCCGCAACTAGAGAAAGCCCACACACAGCAACGAAGATCCAACGCAGCCAAAAATAAAAATATATTAATTAACTAATTAATTAATTTTTTAAAAAAGAAAGAAAGTGAGGCTTGATTTAAAAAAAATAAATTGCAAACAGAAAACCAGTGGTGTAATACAAGTTAACTCACTTTTCCTCTTTTTCCTTCAATTTCTCGTAAGTTTAATTGTATTTCTTAAAATTGTTGATTAATTTTATAGGGTGTAATATGAGATATCAAAGTTTTCTGAGAGGTAAAACATAATGCTTACTTTGCTTATCCATTTCTTATGATGGGCTACAAGTCCTTTTTTTTATAAAGCTTTATTTTTTATTTTTTTAATTAATTTTTGTTGGAGTATAGTTGATTTACAATGTTGTGTTAGTTTCTGCTGTACAGAAAAGTGAATCAGTTATACATATATCCACTCTTTTTCAGATTCTGTTCCCATATAGGTCATTACAGAATATTGAGTAGAGTTCC